AGTTCGTAAAGAGAGTCACGCGCTTCATTCCTGAATGATTCAGCCACTCGAACGAATCAAATGAATGAATGATTCAAATGATTCAAAATCTGTGGCTTGCCGCCACCTGCTGGCGGATTCAGTTTCGTTTTTAGTAGGCATGCACCGATACCACTTTTCCCAGTGCTCGCCCGATACCGATACTTTTAGTTTTGGTACTTGCCGATACCGATATTTTTATTGCATTTGTAAATTTTTTTAAATATTGGGTACAGAAACCAAAAGGGTACGTATAATGTTAGTGGGTTAACTTCATTTATCAAATAGATACAGTCAAACCAAAATGTATTCAGACACCTTCAACATTTCTCACATTATCAGTTTATTCGCTATAGTTTAGAAAATGGTAATAAAATATAACAAGAACTCAATTCAGTCAGAACAAATTTTGGGCTTGATTTCTCACAGTTTAGTTTATTCTGCTATCCTCGCTTGCATAAATGAACTATAGTGTCCTGCACCCGCTAGTCAAAACATATCAAATTATATCTGGTCTCTGAATCATTTTTGGTTTCACATATCCACTCGTTATAAATCTCCTAACGGTGATATTTTCAGAAATACAAGTCGTGTTTTTTCATCTGAAACGTGCTGCGGAGTTTCGTTTTTAGTAGGCATGCACCGATACCACTTTTCCCAGTGCTCGCCCGATACCGATACTTTTAGTTTTGGTACTTGCCGATACCGATATTTTTATTGCATTTGTAAATTTTTTTTAAATATTGGGTACAGAAACCAAAAGAGTATGTATAATGTTAGTTGGTTAACTTCATTTATCAAATAGATACAGTCAAACCAACATTTATTCAGACACCTTCAACATTTCTCACATTATCACAGTTTATTCGCTATAGTTTAGAAAATGGTAATAAAATATAACAAGAACTCAATTCAGTCAGAACAAATTTTGGGCATATTTGTCACAGTTTAGTTTATTTTGCTATCCTCGCTTGCATAAATGAACTATAGTGTCCTGCACCCACTAGTCAAAACATATCAAATTATATCTGGTCTCTGAATAATTTTTGGTTTCACATATCCACTCGTTATAAATCTCCTAACGGTGATATTTTCAGAAATACAAGTCGTGTTTTTTCATCTGAAACGTGCTGCGGTTTATATTCTAAAGCCTCTCATATAATGCAGAAACACTCAAGCAAGCGAAACACGCGCAGCGCGTGCAGGTATTTGTACTGATGCAGAATAGTACAGCCTAGCGCATCTCACACAAGCTGCTAGATTCACTTTCGCCTGAAAGTCGTGTATGCCTAAGGTTGAAAATAGATGATGTTTATAGTGAATGCCCCGATAAATGGTCTTATTTTTACGATTTAGTTTTAATCCAAATGATGCGTGTGCTAAGTGAGTGAACATCAAAGATCACACAACAGAAGTGCGCTCTCTCTCTCTCTCTCGCTCTGTCTCTCTGTCTCTCGCTCTCTCTCTCTCTCTCTCTACCGTTAAGTAACTTGTGCATTTTTACTTGTTTTTGACATATCCGACCGAACTACAGACTTTCCAGTGGTGTCTGTGAGAAAGATATATTCACTCGACAAGCTTGCGCATCTGTGCCGCTGCGCGCTCAATCCACTCAGCGTGCTTTGTTTATCAGCTCGCGCACACCAGCTATACAGGCGTTAATACTGAATGTTTAACATTATATTCATTGCATACATATACTTCGTAGTAGACATCCTTAACTCCATTCTGCTGTCTGTTGTTCTGTTGTCGGTGTTTCTTTGTCTGAATATGGCACTTATCACATGCTGTGTGGTATCGGCGTTTGGTATCGGGGCATTTTAACGAGGACGAGTACATGAGACCAGTATCAGGCCTGATACCGATCGGTGCATCCCTAATTTTTAGCATATAATTTCAGTTATTTAATATTTCTGTATTAAAAATTTTATATTTAAAATATTAATCTCCACATGAATTTATGAATTTAATTGCACTCATGCCACCTCTGAGCCTCATTAAACGTCTGAAAATGTACCTACAAGCCACTTTTGTGTTCTTCTCTGTAGTACAAATTAATTTATTAATACTAAAAAAGATTGTAAACATACATTTTTGAATTTGACATAGATGCCATTACAAATGTAAAAAGAACGTCAGCTCGTATTAGGAAGGCTAATTTTTGATCAGAATTTGATTATTGATCAGAAGGTGCTCCTACATTTTTAAATTAGGAGGACAAGCGCTCCTGACTGAAATTATAGGCTAAAAATGAAACTAAATCCACCAGCAGGTGGCGGCAAGTCAGTGATTTTATCACTGAATCATTCAGTCAATTGATTCGCTCGAACGGCTGAATCATTCAGGAATGAAGCACGTGACTCTCTTTATGAACTGACGGAACACTTGAATCCCTGTGAAACACTTTAAAGCAGCGACGGGTTTAAAGTCTGATTGTGTGACAGAACGAGAGCAACAAGGTGAACTTCGAGAAGATGATTGAAGCCATCCGCGGAAGTAGAGACGGCAAGACGGTCGGCGTGTTCATGAAGGACAAGTTCCCGGGAGAATACATGAAGAGCTGGAGCGACATGATCACGGCCGAGGGCCTGGAGAGGGTCCGCTTGACTGGCTTTCACACGCAAACCTTACTACACCGATGACATTGCGATCAAATAAGCTGAACGAATGCATTTCTGGTGGTCTGTCAGGTGGACGTCAGCACGGCGGTGGCCTACACGATGGCGGTGAAGGAGGACGGAGAGCTGGCGCTCATGAAGAAGGCGGCTGCCGTCACCAGCGACGTCTTCACCAAGTTCTTCAAGGAGCGAGTGATGGAGATCGTGGACGCCGACGAGGTTCGTTCACGCGCGGCTTGCTTTATCCTTCGTGTAGCGCAAACTTTTCAGCTCGCAGAGCCATGAAGGTCAGGGGAAAAGTTAGGGTTTTGTCTTTGAAGAGCCGGAGAAGTTTGGAATCTTTAAGGTTTTGAATGTTTCGGCTTCTGGCTGCATTTATTTGATCTAAAATACAGTAAAAAAAATATGAAAAATTATTACAATTTAAAATGACAGTTTTCTATGTTAAACTGTAATGTATTTCTGTGATGTGCAGCTGTATTTTCAGCATCATTACTCCAGTCTTCAGTGTCACATGATCTTCAGAAATCAGTATAATATGCTGATCTGCTGCTCGAGAAACATTTCTGATTATTATCAATGTTGAAAACATTAATATTTTTGTGGAAACTGTGATGCATTTTATTTTTCAGGATTCACAGCTGAATATAAAGCTCAAAAGAACAGCATTTATTTGAGAGAAATCTGCTGTAACATTAGAAATGTCTTTATGGTCACGTTTGATCAGTTTAATCCGTGACTGATAAATAAAAACATTTCTGTATTAAATCATCTAAAAATATGGGATAACAAGTCTTATAATTTTAAAAGTCTTAATTGTGTGATTAAACTTCAAAAGGCGATAATTTAATAAATGTAAATATTTTAGTATCATTGAGATACTATTGTCGTTTTAAATTTTTATAAATTTGTCTTCATTTTAATTTAAGATTTAGTAATTTTGTTGTTTTTGTCACTATTGTTTTAACCATTTTTATTCATTTTTGACTCCGTTTTTGGTTATTTTAGTACATTTTTAAAAAAGTTCTTTAACATTTTTAAAGTTTATTTCAAGCAGCAAGCGTTATGAATTTTGGTTTGGAATTGTGGTTTCAGAGCAGTGCGCGATATCAGTCAATCTTTCATTCATACATTTTATTATATTGCTACATAAACCAATTACAAATGTATGTATTGAATAAAACATGTCTTAAGTATTTCCCTGTTTTGCAGTTGAATGTGACACAATTAAGTAAAATAATCTGAAATGCACGCTTGAATTCATGTTGGTTTTATTTAGCATTGCAGTGGAGACCCAGAGTTGTTCTGTGGCTAATGTTTTCCGGTCCGTATGCTAACCTCTGTCCGTCTGTGGTGATGTTCCTCAGAAAGTCAAGCACAGTCGTCTGGCCGAGTCGGTGGAGAAGGCCATTGAGGACCGGAAGTTTCTGGGCGGCGTGGACCCGTCGACGGTGGAGATGTGCTACCCTCCCATCATTCAGAGCGGCGGCAGCTACAGCCTGAAGTTCAGCGTGGTCAGGTGAGAGCCGCAGACACGCACCGCATCCATCATCTGAGGGAGATGCTCAGACGCTAAACGTGTGACGTTTCTCTCCCAGCGATAAGAACCACATGCACTTCGGCGCCATAACCTGCGCCATGGGCATCCGCTACAAGTCCTACTGCTCCAATCTGGTGCGCACGCTCATGGTGGACCCGCCGCAGGAAATGCAGGACAATTACAACTTCCTGCTGCAGGTGGAGGAGGAGCTTCTGAAGGAGATGAAGCACGGTGAGCAGAAGCAGCAGTGTGCGCGTGCCTGTCTGTGCGCGTGCCTGTCTGTGCGCGTGCCTGTCTGTGCGCGTCTGTGTCTGTCTGTCTGTGTTTCTCTGTGAGTGTGTGTGTCTGTCTGTGAGTGTGTGTGTGTGTGTGTGTGTGTGTTGATCAGTGTTTTATCATCAGTGTGTGTGTGTTGATCAGTGTTTTATCATCAGTGTGTGTGTGTTGAGTGTCTGTGTGTCTGTGTCTGTGTCTCTGTCTCTGTCTCTGTCTCTGTGTGTCTGTGTGTCTGTGTGTCTGTGTGTCTGTGTGTCTCTGTGTGTCTGTGTCTGTGTCTGTGTCTGTCTCTGTGTCTGTGTCTGTGTCTGTCTGTGTGTCTGT